GGTTTTACTATGCTGGTGTATAATACATGGTATGTTAATAAAGGATAACTTGGTATAGTAGCGATGATATCTCTGATTCTCATCACTTTTCCAAGTTTTCTTGTTCAAGTTTTACATTAATTTAGATTTTTTTTTTATGAAATTGATTATGGATTTTAATAACACAGCCGCTTGGTTCGAGCCAATGTTCAACCGATGATCGCAAGTATAATCGATGATCGTGACCATCATAGTAAATTCTCAGACTTGATCATCACATAAAGAAGTGAAATATCATTAATGAGACCATTTACTCCATTTTTTTCACTGGCCCATCAGGACTTAGTTTCATTGTACCAGGTTTCATGGCCCACGAAAATTTACTGGCTCGGAGTACCAGGAATACTCGGAAATCGGCCTAGTAAGTTTCCAAGCCCTTGTCACAAGCTCGATAGATCATGCAGCGAACTGCAGCGCTTACCAGTCTATGGTTACGTCGAGTGCGACGTAACTGCCTCCCGAGCCCTTGTCCAAGCTCGATATTATACATCGCAACGCGCACTCCTGCCGCGTCGCGGTACGCCTGGTCGCAGGCAGCACATCTCTCGCACGCGGGTCTCGTATACTCGCGATCGAGAGATGACCTCAGGCCTAACTGCCGATGGTGAGATTGCAGTGTTACGGTATCCAGCTGTTGAGAGTAGTCAATGACGAAGGTTCTCCGAGTGGACAACAGAAGAGACCCTCGTGCGACCGGGCCGCAGCCCGCAGCGTCTGTCGACACGGCTTTGGCAGGCCGCTTCGCTTAACGAACGTGCAAATCGACGCGACATGTCTTCGCCCGTCTTGAGTGGACCTCCTACTAAGAGTCGGACTGTTCCACAAAGCGCGAAGGAGTCGACACGCCGGCGCCATCCAGGGGGCGCGCGCGAGACCTGTGACGGGACAGGATGACGGCGCCCACAGCGGTGGTGATGCAGTGAAGAGTCAGACTACATACTGCCGCGCGTGCGCGTCGGTCGCGCGGTTAGTCCGGGCTGACTGGCCACCCTGACCTTGAGGAGGAACTCGACTTTCTGTCACCCCTCGTAGTTTTGAGATCCATGGCGCTGAGCTTTCATTAGGGCGCACGGATCCACCATGTTATCTTTTTCTTTTTCCTCTGCGCGCGCGCAGCTTCTCTTCTATGCGCGGCCACATGCTCCCATATTGTGCCATCTCCATATGATTCGTAACGTTACACTTCATACACATATCCAATGTGGCCGCGGCGACAATGGAGGTGTCATAGTGTAGACAATGGCTATTGGCGGCGGTACAGTGTTTGACGTGGTCAATTTCATTCCACATGTTAGGCCGCGCACGCGTGACACTTCTCAGGTACGCGGAAAATGCGAAATACGGAACGGTGTCTCATTGCGTGCATAAATTATATGAAAGCCTACACGGGTTAACTATATTTCATATCGGTCAGAATAACGGCTCGAAGTAGCCTTTAGCTTAACGAATATATAGGTCATGCGGTCTTGCGCGTCCGGAAGGGTCGTCTGTAATCGTCGTTTATTGTTGACAAATGTAGCCGAAGCGGCCGAATTGATTGCGCGCGATCGCGCGCTCCTCCGGTTCCTGCGGGGACGGGGCTCTGTGGGAGAGGAGGCTCGGGATAACGATTAATCACAGAAAGTCAAGGCTTCTTATTGCTGATAACTCCCATTATAGTGCAATCTAAACACCAAATTTAGCGGCGTTGATATTTTTAAATTCCAAATTAAGCATTTATAATTTTTCTATAACGTTCTTAATCGTATGAGATTTATCTGAACAGCTCTGACTTCGGCGCCGACGTTAGCCGATCAAAGTATCGCGTGCGGACGGAGTGACAATCGATCGGCGCGGGGAGAACCCCCAGTGGCGAGAACGAAGGGAATAGTTCTTAATCCGCGCCATCTCCCCAACCTTCGCTTTTTCTGCGTTTACTTTACGCAGTTGGCGTC